GGAAGTAATTGAGTAAAAGGATAGATTCTATTTTCAAAAGACGGTGGGCAGGCTTGGAGGAGCATGCTTTGAATGAAAACCATGTCTATGGAAGAGCGAGGACAGAGTCTTGGCCAGATAACCAGGCTTCACAGATTGATCAGAAGCCAGGGGTCAAGGCTCTATAGTTCAGTTCCATAATGAGTTGCAGCATCCCTCGCATAGTCTACCATTGCAATGTTAGCTCAAAACTTTAATTTTGATATTGGGAAGGTATTGCAGTATGTAGGAGAGCTTCCAAAAGTCGTGGATTTAAAAACAGATAAGAAAAAAGACCTTTTAAAAGTTTTGTTAAGAATAGGGGGCAGAGAGGGCTATATCACAGCAAAGTATAGCTAAAGACTAGCAGAGGAGGAGAACAGAACTTTAGTACTAAAATATGATTTTGCAAAGCCACTGTGAAGGGATTAAGAAAGAGTGGGAATTCCTTATCAATATTAACCAAGAGGAAGGTATTTGGTCTTTTTTTTTGGGGGGGGGTAGGGTGGGGTTTCTTCTGGTACCGGGAATTGAACTCACGACCTCGCACTTGCCAGGCAGGTGCTGTGCCACTGAGCTAAATCCCCAGCCTCTGAGGAAGGTATTTGGAAGCACAAGTGCATCTAAACTAGGAAGAACTGATGTGGAATTCCGCGCAGATGTGCTTTTCAGTTTTCAGCCCTAATTTTGAATTAACTAAATGGGTAAGACTAGAGAGTTATGAAATCTCTGAAGGATGTCTGTGAACAAAGCACTGAAGAAAAATAACTTTGAAAACCTAGGTAATACAAGATCATACAGTATCTGGTGGCTACGCTACGATAATGCCAATTCAAGGGTAATAAGAAGATCTTTATTTTTTAAAATGGCTTTTCAAACTAGATTATTCAAAACACTAAGTTAATCTGAACCATATCAACTAAGAATATACCACTGACTACACCTTCTACCTATCAGTTAATAAAAGTGCCCATTTGTAAGTTCCGTAGTGCTTGGCAGGCTCCACGCCTCTGGCACAGGAAAACTCAGGGTGTTAGTGCATATCCCAAGTTCCATTTGAGTTTTCTAATATTTGTGGCATCAGATGAGACCATTAGGCCAACGGTGCACTATGCTCCAGTCATTCTGGTATTTTGTCATCTACTACCAGTGTGCGTAGGAGACCAGAACATCTTACCACCCAGCCTAGCTGAGAGCTCAACACAGCACTGCAAAAACCAAACCCAAACCCAGCTCTGCAGTTCTGTGGGGGTAGAACACAGGGAAGGTATGACACTCAGAAGATTCAGCTTCTTTATCCCCACCTTTCAGATAAAGGTAAAATTAAGGAGGTGAGCTCAGTTGACTGACAGAAGAACAGAGCGCTTGCTACCTGTGGCATGTTGGTGTCAGAGGCCCTGTTGTCAAGTTCCTCCTGCAGGTGCTGGTTTCTCCTTTCCGCCTGCAGCAGCTGGTGTTGAAGCTGCAAAAACTGCTCCCTGGGGACCACCCGACAGGCTTGCTGCTGGAGCGGCTGCAGATCCCAAGGAGGGGACGGGCTAAGCATCACAGTGGACCTCAGGTGCTGCATCTGCAGGACAAGGCCAAAGGTCTGGTTAGCAGCAGCTCCCTTCAGTCTGCAGCAGAGGGTACCGAACTCTATGACTTAGCTACTGGCCTCTGCTCTACCGATAACTTGCAAACAGGGCAGCACATAAACCCAAGTGAGAGGTAATGGGAAGAGCTTTTTTTCTATTTAACAGATAATGAATAAGCAGGCTTTCTGGAAAGTTTTAGACTTTTAAAACATTGTACTTCCTCACCTGAGTGACTGTAAGAGCATCTGTGTACAATATACAGTATATAGTATGGAATAGCTGAATTCTACCTGATTTTTTCCTATGCTAGCACATTTAATTACCCTTTTCCCCTTTTTCAAAAACTGAGGTTGGAGTAGGGAAATCAGGGGAGAAGTGGTTATGTTTTAGGATTTCCACTATACCTACCACTCATAAAGATTCCTAAAGACAACTGTTCATTAGCTACATATTTTCCAACCCCATGTAAGCAAAATTTTGGAGGCAGGGGGTGGAATTTCATCTTGCACCTAAAATTACATGAGCCCATTTTAAAAATGTTTGTCAATGTGTAGTTATACCCTTAAGCAGCAGAGAAAGGCCAATTTCTGGAGGATAAGGTGATATCCTAAAATATCTGGGAAGTGGAGTACACAGGACACAAGCATTTGTTCAAGACAATGAGGGAATGGTATATCAACATGCCAATCAAATGTAGGGAGAGGAAACGATAAAGAGTACACCACGTTTCGGCCAACGAGCATGCTACCTCACATCCGTCAGCACGTTCAACAGATACAGGACTCAATGGAGGGCATGCAAGAAATATGAGCGAATCCAAAACCCAAGAGGAAGCACCTCTGGGCTTGTGGCAAGGGGAAAAGGGCTTCTCAGGCACAACCATAATTAAATGTTACCATGAAACTTCAAAGCCACTATTCATTTCCTTGGGTCCTCATGTCTGAGGTGGACCACTACCCATTCTGAAATCCTTTTAGATGTAGATTCAAAAAATCTCCCACTTTATTTTCACGAATAAGGAAAATACAGTATTAGGATCCCACGACTTTCTATCAGTGGGATAATTTCCTTCATATACAATGCTTTAAACACTGAGAAAAATCCTAATGTACACTGAGATGTATTCCGCAGTGAAAGCAAAATGAAAATGAATACTGGCTCTTTAGTACTTATTAACTGGTACAGTCATAGAAGTGGTTACATGAACAAAGAGTTGAATGAGATGGCCCCAAGCCATGAAAGTCCATTGGAAGAGAAAGTTCTACCTTCACACACTATCTCAGGCAGAGAACTGCACCCTTCTCTGCTACTTCCAACCACTGAGTTCTAGGTACAGGTTAGCCACAGACAAAATAAAAACAAACAAAAGAAAATTATAGGAGTTAGAGAAAGAGGGAGAAAAGGGAGTTATAAACAGAGAAACAACAGTACCGTTTGCATATATTTTTATACCTGAACAAAACCATAGGAAGGGCCAACATTTACATTTTTCGGGATATAAATTTTGTAGACATGAACATATCTTACAACTCTAATTCTGCCACTACATCCTCACCTGCTGTCAGCTGGTGCGCTTGTGAGCTTGCTTCCTTTACCTGTACCCATCCCATTACAATTATTTAGACAGTTCCAGGTCCAGTATGGAAGGATCTGATGTTACCATCCCTTGGCCCTTGCAGATGCAGAATACAAACTCAAGTATTTTTGTTTCAGCTGTTGAAAATGCTGGTTATCACCGTGGTACAGAGCAGACTCGATCCTCCTTTTAAAATGGTCAAGATTTTTTTGTTCTTGTTTTCTGACTGAATATTATCTCCCATAGTTGAAAAAACCTTCGAGTTGCCGTCAAATTCTAGCCCCAAGTCTTCCATTTCCTACTCTGGTAATTTTAATTACATGGGAGTAGGATATGTGTTGCATTAGATCAGTGATGTTTAAACTGGTTCATACACAGAGGTGAGGAGGGACTCCTTCCCCTATGGGAACACATATACCAAATCAGAATCTCCCAGGAGATCTCCTCTGCTTCCAAAGATTCTGATGTAGGAACATCTACCTGCTTGCTCATGGGCCCTCACCCCCAGCAGGTGAGAATGCCTGATAGGAAGGAATATACCAATCCCTCAGGTGAGCTGGGATACCAAGGATGGGATGGAAGCCACTGCATATTCCATAAACTAGCTTAATCTATACTATAACCCAGTATAGTATATACACATCATACTATAAACCCAGTTTATAAGACCAGCAGGAGGAATGGTTAATGCTTAATAGTCACAGACTAATGAAAAGGCTTTGGAAATGATGTGTTAATACCACTAAATTTTAAACTTAACAATGATCAAAAAGGCATGTTTTGTGTCCTATAAATATTTATCACCTTTTAAAAATCACTAACATGCCCCAAACCACTGAAGTGTATAATATGTATATTATATATCAATACAGCTGTTAAAAAAATCCCCAATTTATATAAATCTATAAAGTTAATAGCACAGTCTTACTTCACAACGAAAGTCTTATTAGGATAGTGCATGAAATATTCTTTTCAGTGTTTACATAGAAAATTGATGCTTTTTTCCTTACTAAGTTCCAGTAGCGAGAACACTCAATTTTCGTTATCTATGAGCAAATATTTACTACTAGATAAAGGGGAAGATGATGTGGGGAAATTGCTTTGGGTGCCTAATAATATAAATGGGGTTCAGAGGAGCACAGGAAGAGCCAGCCTATTGGCTGGGCATCTGGAGGACGTCCAGCGGTGATTGATTACAGCCTGCTTCATTTCAACTTGTTGCTAGACACGTTGGGCTTGGCTTTGGATATCTTACTCATTAGACTATATAATTACTTCATCAGGAAAGCACATCTACATCTAAGCACAGGCTGCAGCTCAAGATTTTGAATGCATTTATTATAGGCTGTCAGAAAACATGGCTTGGATTTCACTATTTATAGTTTCACTAATCTCCCCATTCGTGGATAAATCAGACAACATAAAATTGCCAGAAACCTTTAGTAGTTCTTGAAATGTCAATGTGATATGCTTGTCTACATCACACCTTGGCTTGTATCCAGCTTTATAAAAGAAAATATTTCAATATTTCTTCTTTCCTGTAATTCTCCCTTAAAGATATTTGTATACATTGTATTTTTTTTGTTTTTTTATTTTTTGGTTTTTTTTTTTTTTTTGGCGCTTTTGCCGCTAAGCTAAATTCCCAGCCCCTTACATTGTATTTTTTAAGAATATAAAGACATTTTCTGTGCCTCATTCTCTATTGTATGTACATTTTACAATTCGCAAAATGTTGAATTTACATTTTCATTTACTAAAGGCAAAATATCTCAATGAAATTTTTACTTAGGAAGGAAGGTTATAAGTTGTTTCATAGCCCATGATGATATATATTATATCCTACCATGGTACTCAAAAATCAAACTGGTAATAGCTGGGCATGGTGGCACATGCCTGTAATCCCAGCACTTGGGAGTCTGACGCAGGAGGATCACTGTGAGTTTGAGGCCAGCCTTGGCTACAAAATGAGTTTGAGGCCAGCCTGAACTGCATGGTGAAACCCTGTCTCAAAAAGATCAACAAATAAATAAATAAATTCAGTAAAATAGGCCAAAGAACGCAGGTTGGCAGGTACTCAGATTTTAACAACAGGAACTCAATGGCATGGCTAGTCCCTCCCAGTGAATGTCTCGTTCATGGGTTAAAATATTCTTCACAGTGAAGGCCGTTTGCTTAAATGCTTACCTCCACCAGCTGCTCATCCAGTTTCACTTGCTTCTTTTTCAGGCCTTCATTTTCCAAATGAATTGTTTCTAATTCTCGTTCAAGGACATTCATCTGACTGACCTATTAAAAAACAGAATTCCCCTTTTCAAAAAAAAAAAAAAGCACTCACTCCAATTGTTCTACTCTATTTTGATAAAGCTGTGTTTGTCAAAAATCTGTATTCTTGAAAGAAGGCCAAGAAAAGTCAACAATGAGAAAACAATACATAGTGCAGTGCTATTTAAGTAATCTAGGCTTAATCAGCACTTCTTTCAGGCATCTAGCTGACTTCTAAATGCTGATGCCACCCACTGTAAAAAAAAAAAAACAAAAACCACAAGAAAATCCTGTAACACAGTATCCACACCTCCATGTATCTGTGCGGACAGCTGTAGCTACATTATCACCCAAAGAAAATGCTTATGCTAAGTACTATTCCATTATATAAAAATACCACATCTTTTTTTATCCATTCCTCAGTTGATGAGCATTTGGGCTGCTTCCACAATTTAGCCTATATTTCTCTGAGTAACCAATTTGAAGATAACAGTATGCAATACAACAATATTGTTAATTTCCTATCACCTTGTCTGAAATTCTGTATTGCTTTTATTGTTTTTATTTTGTTGCTTTGTTTATGTCTGTGTGTTTGTTAGGACGTTTTCATTCTTTTACCTTTAACATAAAGAAAAGGAAGTGATTATGCAAGACTTCTTCTTACCATGAGCCATAAACTGCTATTTCCTAGTATATTTTATTAATAAAAAATGTTATTTTTCATTAAATTAATTTAATGATCCTCTGCTACTGGATCTCAGGAGGAGATCTCTTGAGGGTACATAAATCAAGATTTATGAAAAAAAAAAAAAAGATTTATGTAACACTATTTTTTTTCAGTTTTAAAGATGAAGTTTGAAGATTTTATATGCTTCCATTTTTGGAATTGCTTGAATACAGGAAGAATCTAATGAGCTCCAGGACACTGGGATTCAAAATATTGCTAAGTAGAAAACAGGACACTATTGTAGAAGGCTAATTTTTGCTTCTATCGAAAAGAGCTGAGAAGAGCAGCAAGATTTGTCAAGCAGAAATGGAACATTTCCAGGCCCATTTAAAATTGTTGTTTTAAAACCTCTCATAAGACTTTTCCTTTGGTGAGCGGCTAAGAAACCCTGTCTGACAGGTTTGCTGAAAAGGAACTGAAAAATTAAATGACACTTCATCTTAGACCACCACCAGCCTTCCCACTGTAAATGGTCAAAACGTTTACAAGTTGTAGAAAAACATGAGTATTTTTAAACAAAACTAACATTGTTCATTCTTCCAGGATTTTTAAAATAAGCATATATTCGACAAGAGGAATGTAATAGTGGAAACTTTAAGTTTTGGTTTAGGAAAGAAAAAACAAGGAAACTCCACAATCCTCCGGTGAACAAGGTCTGAACCCTAACTCCATGAGACAAGGCACAGAAAGCAAATGGAGTTGTGCTACCGGGATTTAACAGGGAGGTAGCCAGCTCCGAAAGGGCCCCGGAGGATCTCTACCGCCTGGTTAGTCTGTGTACAGACAGCCTGTGGCAGAAAGGATAGCATGTAACTTATGACGTTATGGTCTCAAACACCTACAGCTTGTCTTGGTATTTTGAGCTTGAGTGTCTGTCTGTCTGTCTGTCCAGGAAGTAAGAAGCTGTGATCTCAGGCATTTAGCTAGCAGGAAACAGAAGCCATTTGGTAAGTCATTTGAGAGCCTGGAATGTGGATCCTCTGGCCTCGGCAAAGCCTGCAGGTGACCACAGCCCTGGCTGACCTCACAAGAGTCCACAATCAGACCACCCAGCCATGCTGCTTCCGCGTTCCAACCCACAGAAACTACGGGCCCAAGTGTTATTTTGTTACACGGCACCAGATAACTAATACAGTATATAACAGGGTATTTCCAGTATGTAGGCTACATATATTTTGTCAATTTATAAAGTCTTATAATAGTGAAGATGATGAACTGTTCCCCATGAAACCTTCAAATGTATCGTTCTTTTTCAACCATTACTCTATCAAAAAGAACTATGATACTGTTTTGACAAGACTACAGAGGTATGAAGAGATAAAAGGAAGAACCACAATGTGTCACTGCAATCATTTCCTCAGAATCCTGCTGGGTGGGAAACACTCTAGGGAAGAGTTCTTGTCACAACACTGACACGCAGCACAGGCTCTGGAAAACTCACCTTCCTCTGAGCGGGAGATGGTTCTTTCTGCAACTGTTCACACTCTCTTTTTAAGTTCAACTTTTCTTGCTCTGTGGGTTTCACAGTACCTGCTGAGTTGAGATGTTTTTGGTGCTTAAGGGGAAGAAGGCTGGATTCCAGCTGACGGACCTGGCGAAAACAAATATAAACAGATGTTTATGTAATCACCCGGCCAGGAAACCCAACAACCCACACAGGGAAAGTTCTTATTTAGCCCTCAGGTCCTGTGGTATTAAAAATTGTTTCTTAGCCGGGCACGGTGGTGCATGCTGTAGACCCAGCTACTCGGGAGACTGAAGTGGGAGGATCACTGGAGCCCAGGACTTCAGGATCAGCCTAGGGAGGAGCATGGTGAGACCCACTGCAACACAGAGTGACAACAAAAGACCTTTCAGTGCAGCCTGCCAATTCTGGAAGCCTGCTTTTCTGGATTTCTGAAGATCCTTTCTTGGGAAATTTGGTGTGGTCTACAAGCCCAGCGCTGTAAGGATAAGGCAGGAGGAGGAGATTTCTGGGTCTACTGATTCAACAGCAGTTAGATGTGGGTGTGGCGTGAGAACCAAGGAGATAGGCACAGCAGTCTGCAGCCCTTCAGCTCTGGCATGAGCGTGACTTTTAGGAGTGAATGAGGTGACAGTCTCATCGGCTCCGTATCGGCTCTTAACTGAAACGTACATCTGCATCTGCTAAGTTCCAAGAGGAAGGGACTGTGTCTTGTCCCCCACCGCGGCATCCATGATAGCAGAGGATCTGCCCAGTGTCCTAATGGACACTCTGAGCGCCTTCAGGAGCTCCTCCTCAGTAGAGGTGCAGAGCATTGGTTAAATATAAATGGTCAACCACGTAGCAAAGGTAAAGAAACAAAGCATCGACAATGCTTGATGGGTAGAAAGGATGACCTTTAAAAATCATTCTAACCTTAAAATGCTGAGTCTTTCAAATGGGCACCTTTTCTCCTCTGACGAGGGAGTTAGACGCACAAGACCTGAGTCTAATTCTGCCATTTTTGTAAATACTGATCTGGGCAGCTAGCCAATTCGAATGAAGAATATATAGTTAACGTAATTTCTGTGGGTCTGTGTTTCTGATGTATTAAAATCAGATTAAGTAGAGAGCTGCTTACATAAATGGAAATATTTTATAAACGTATCAGTGTAAAATTATATGCAAGTAAATGATAAATTATTCATTCTCAAAATAAGTCTGCTCTAGCAGGACACTCAAATCTGTACCCCAGAACTGTTCAGTCACAGCAAACTGTCCCTCTCAGATCGCGGGGCCACCCCGTCGGCCCTTCGGGTTACCTTCTCCCTGGAGTGCGAGAGCTCTGCTTTGGTGCTCTGCACCACGCTCTGGAGCCTGTCGTTCTCTTGCCAGGGCAGCTGCTGCTCCTCATGCATCGGGCGGTCCAGCCTCTCCCAAGACAGCCTTTGCTGCTGGCTCTGGGGCCCTGACGGACGGATGGCTGTTTCTGAGGCCCAGTTCTTAAGAGAGAATTGCAGCGTTAAACACACTGATGGGCAATTTCTGTTTGGGGAAAAGTGTCCTATTTAGCTAATGACAATTCTTTTTTTCTTTTTGAAGTACTTAAAAGTACCTCGTGATTACAATCATTGTGGGGAATTGGTATATAGATACAACCCAATGACAATTCTTAGTAAACCTTTACTTTTGTCTTCAAACATGTATCTAGTCATAGGTATGAGTTAGACAATACATTTGCAATTTGATTTTTAAACAAAAGGTTTGGAGGCACTAGATTTAACATGGTCTTTGACAAAAAAGCCCAGGTAAGTTCAACAGCAAATGATTTTTTTTTTTTTTTTTTGAGATAGGGTCTCGCTATGTAGCCCAGGCTGGCTTCGAACTTGCAGCGACCCTCCTGCCTCAGCCCCTCAAGTGCTGGGATTATAAGCATGCACAGCCATACCGGCATAACAGCAAATGCTTGAAATGTGAATTCCAGTTCTATAAAGCGTACAAATGCACGGCTGGTGGCTTAAAAGTTGCCCCATTCGTAGGAAGCCATCTTTGAACCCAGGCAGTACAGCACTCTTTTGATTACCAGAGGACAGAAAGGTCACTCTGAAAGGCACTGCCACACTGAAGGCTCGCAGGCCGAGCTCTCTTTTCGTGTTCACATATGCAATCATATCCCTTTTTAGAATTCAAAGCACATACTGTCCACATAATTGAGGCCTAGATTCAGGAATATACTTTAAGTTACCAGGATGTCTTATTTTTATCCTAAAACTAACGTTGCAGAAAAAGGTAACACAACCAGATAAAACTCCTTCCTTTTAAGCTGAACATGAAAAAGAACAACAAAAAAGGTACAGTCTCATTTTGAGAAAAATGTCAGCCCAGAAGAAAAATTTTAAAATAGAAATAATGATCTTATATCAAAAGTCCAACCAAGAGAGAAAAAAACCTGGAATTCATTCCTACTTTTATTATAGGACAAAAATCTTAACATCTACCATAAGACTAACATTTATAACATTGTACTTAATTCATCTGCACACAAATTAAGCAGTATTTTGGTATCTTTTTTTTTTTTTTTTTTCGGTACCGGTAATCGAACTCATGATCTCAGGCTTGCCAGGCAAGCGCTTATGCTGCTGAGCTACATCCCCGGCCCAGCATTATGATATCTTAAGACAAGACATGGTTTCTAGCAACCATGTGCCAGGAGCTAACCCCTTATCCAGCTCTTCCTGGACGTGCTGATATCATAAGAGCAACAACCCATTAGGCCATTCGCTCCCAAAGTTCAGGACTATTGTTTTAATGCCACAGTTTTTCTTTGCAGTGCAAGTTTTACTTTTTTGCAGTGGGTGTGTATGTTCCTGGATTAATTTCTTGCAATGTTTCACTTGGCTTAATTTTGAGGGCCACAGGACTGTTCTTATCATTTAAATAAAGTTTGAAAATATTTTAGTTTGATTACTGTGAAACTCAACTCAGTCATGATCTTCTGAACTTATTTAATATCAAAAATTACCTCTTTGGTATAACTACAGCTATACTGATATGAAGTCCAGAAACAAGCTTCCCTAACCTGCTGAGGCCAGAGGGTACAAAAGTGGGTTCCTTGAGGTTATCAAGTGGAAAGGACACCAGGGAACAGGCTGGGTGCCAGAAATGATCCAAGTGGTGGTGACACAAGCACAAATACACACAAAAGCACACCTTTATATTTTATATATAATATATATTATGTATATATATATGCACTATATATTAATTCACTTATACATACATACATGTAAAATTGATCAAATTAGAGACTAAAAGTTATACTCTTTATCATACATAACTTATAACTCAGTAAAACAAAAAAGAAATCACCTTGTCACCCACATTCTGAAGTTGTTTTTGTAATGCGATTACTTCTTGTTTTAAAGCCTCCTTCTCCTGCTGAGTCCCTTGGAGGTCGGATTTAATGCGGGACATTTGAAGGCTGGTGTTTTGCAGCGTATCTTCTAGGTCCTGAACCTGAATGGTAAGAACAAGCTTCCACTGCTGCACAAACCCTCCAGCATGTCCAGCAAGGAAGGAACAAAGATAAAAGCCCTTTCTGGTTCTGTTTATTACATCCAGTTCTCTTTTCAGCAGCCCACTGGAAACCTAGGACATTCTACATGTTTGTAGGATGCTAAATCATATTTAGGGAGATGATAAGCTATGCCTGGAGCACGGTATTGCTGATAGTTTCCTGGTAGGTTGAAGGGATATCTAAGAGAACCAATAAATGCCCACCAACAAGGAATGGTCTCCTCTGTAAAATCTAGTAGAAGCTATGTTTTAGCCTGGGTGTTGGCTTTTAAAGGACTTCTTAATAAAAAATAATACATATTTGTACAATCTTCACATTAATCTTTCAAATAGATTCCAATAAAAACAATTAAATTTTTAAAAGGAATGAAAGATCTTTAACAGGGCATGAACCTACTTCAGACACACTGTTTTTTTTTTTTTTTTTTGTCTTTTTGGGGCAGGGGCTCGCTATGCAGTTCAGGCTGGCCTTTAGCTCACTTTGTAGCTCAGGCTGGCCTCAAACTTGCAGCAATCCTCCTGCCTCAGCCTCCCAAGTGCTGGGGTTACAGGCATGCCCCACCATGCCCAGCTCAGACACACAATTCCAAATTTAGAAATAGTAATAATGTTTGTACACTGTACTCAAGTTTTCATAATAAGTAATCTCATAATTAGTAAACTTTGTGGGAAATATTGTTTATATTATTTTGCCACACACTAAACATGTGTCAAATTAGGTCCTATGGAATTATTCTGAGCCTTCTGAAGTCACTCCTACCCGGAACATTGTTTTTACTACTCTATCTGTTGGAAGATGGAGGAAAATAGTGTGGAGGTGAATCAGGGACGGTCCACACACACACACACACACACACACACCTTTTCCTGTGAGTCCGCCAGCTGTGACTTCAGGGTCTCATTCTGGTGCTCCCAAGATTTTTGTTCCTGCTTCAGAGCAGCAATTTTGTGCTCCAAATGCCTTGATTTTGCCAACTGTTTCAGGAAGAAAAGAAAACTAAGAAGGCAGTTTTGCAAACACATCTAACCTCCATTTATAGGCCTCCACTAACATGTCAAGAACAAATACTGTGTATTTATACAGCAGAGGGGGGCAAGGTAAAATAAAGTAGTAGTTTTCCTGACTCTCTTAATCTTTTGGGGAGTCTCTTCTTTTTTGAATATATACATTTATATTTATTCCCTCACTACCTCATATTTTGAGAATGGGAAGTGATAAACTAGAAGATAAATTAGAAATTTCAAGATTACACCATAACAGAAAAAAATAAAAAGCCCACAAGGCAGGTGGGTAAAAAGCAGTGGTTTTGGATCTGTTAGGGAAAATATGATAGAAAAAAGTGTGCGTCTATGAAATAGATCTAAGATTATTAAAAATTATATTATGCAGAAGACATATATATGGAGAGGCGGGGGGCATCCTGATATATTAGAATGAGACTATGTCGCAATCTTGGTTCCAGAAGACCTAGGGTCACATAATGCCACCTGAAATCTGAAATGCTCTTCTAGGAAACTCTGGGACAATCGGGCTAATCCATAGGTCTGGGGATTACTGTCCAGCCCAGTACCACTCCACAGTGACGATGGTAAAGGCTTACTATTCGTACTACCTTATCCACACAGCTATTTAGTTCTTCACTGAGAGCTTCTTTTTCCTTCAGCAGTCTTTCATTGTAGCTTAGAACACTAGAAATTTTTTGCTGAAAGTCCGAGAGGTCAGGACATCTGTGCAGCTGTAAGAGATACACAAATGGGCCCTCCATCACCTCTTGCCTGTATTTACAGAGAGGTACGGTGTTTACAAACAGCGCACTTCCACAGCTGCTGAGACTTCCCTATCTAGATAGGGACCTAAAAACTCTATAGACTACAATTAACTCTACCAAACTCTTTTCTCCCCCGCCGGCTTCTTTCTGTTCCTCCATTGATGGTCAAAATGTCTGTGCAGATGGACGCAAAAAGACATCGTTAATAAGGACCCTAGCTCTCCACTTGACCTTCACGGTAGAATAACACACCGACATTCTGCATCCGTCTGACATGTTCTCTGCGCTTTTTAAACTAGGAAATTCTTCTCAAAAAAATCTCAGTCCAGGCTATAAAGTTGGCAGGAGCCACATTCAAGGTACCAACACGAGGGCATGTTTAAGAGTCAGGCAGTATTTTTCAGCTTGTCCTATGTGCCCTTCCTTGGAAGGTGCCTATGTAAGACATGCTGGCTTCTCCACTCTACTGTGTGGGACCATAGCATAGCAATTGGTTTTGTTACTTTTCAGGATTAGCGCTGCTACTACTGGACATCCTGGACTCAATCATTTTTGGCGGGGAGGCTGTCCTGTATATTTTAGGATGATTCACACTATCTCTGGCTTTAGCCACTAGATGCCAGCAATATTACTACCACTATTTACGAAAACTAACAATGTCTGGGGTTGGGGAGCAATCCTTACCCCCCCCCAACCTTATTGAGAACCACTGCTTTAAAGAGGTTGTTTCTTACACTGTGCAATCCCTTCCCATAGTTTACTAAAGTTTTAACTTGCTTCCCTTGCTCTCGACCCTCACATCTTCAATTCTTAGGATTATGCCATGGCCATCTTTCTACTTCCTACCTGAAATTCTTTTACATTTAGCTTCAGCAATAGGACAAAATAGTTTACCAGCTGAATTTTGTCTGCAGCTGCAATACATCCAACATGTCTACAAATCTGAATGAGTAGGAAGATACAGGAAAATGTATTTTGAAGTACCTGACATTGATATAAGGAAAGCTCTCCTTTACCCCTACCTTGCCTCACTTCGTGAACACCCAGGAAGCCTGACACCAATCTGGGGGTCTCCTGAATGGGTATGCAACTTCGCAGATGCTATGTTTCTTTTCAAGGCAATAGGCAGCATATGGGAAAGTGCTGCATGAGCTCCATATAAGTCATGGTATCTTACGGAGTAGCACACACAGGAGTCCAAGCCGCACGATAACAATGAAGGTCTGTCACAACCTTACTCAAGTGCCCTGGTGTCCGATGAAACCATTTCCCACCAGAGGCAGGCAAACCTCACTGTTCTTCCACCTCCCTGTTTATACCAATGCCTCTAAAAACTAGGTAACAAAATGTGCTGCATGGTGTTCCCACCTCTCCCAACGCCACTCTTTTCCTGCTCGGTGCTAGCTTAGCAATGCTACAAGGCACCCACTTCTCACGCTAGGGTTTTGAAAAGGGCTTATTATCATTTCCAAGATTGAACAACAGACTTTCAACATGTACAGGATAAAAGGACGCCCACGTTACTTTAGGATAAAGTTGCTAATGACAGCTTTGGGATACTCAGATACCACAGAAAGGCCCTGTGAGTTTCAACTTCTGGGATGTTTGTGTGGGACTGTTTCTTTAGTTAGAGCAGAACTCGACTAAGGTTCTCACATGCACCCTCTGGGTATCAGGAGTGTATGGGGCATTACAAGAGACATAAATACCCTGCACATTTTATAATCCTATTAGGTAAGCAAGATTTACATGAGTCAAGAGATTAACACAAACGCAAACTAGATTTAATGGTTCAGCATTCAGGAGAAGAACAGATTGATGCTTACAGGCTGAACAGATTTAAGAATAAATATTTGTAATCTAAGAGCTAAAGGTGCCATAATTTTTATGTGTTGCGGGGGGTACTGGAGATTTAACCTAAGCCTCAGCACTGAGCCATATACTCAAGTCCCCCTCTTTTTTAAAAAAAATATTTTGAGATGGTCTTGCTAAATTCCCAGGCTGGACTCCAACTTTTGATCCTCCTGCCTCAGCCTCACAGACTGCAGGAATTACAAGCATGTGCCACCATGCTCAGCTAGGGTGCTCTAATATTAAAGTAATCTGGGGATGGAGCAAACAGATAAAATGGAACTAAATTCTCCTATGAATCAGTGTTGTTCCAACCGAAAGACTCCTGTACAAATGAAAAGAATAAAGTAGGGCAGTGTTTAGGGCACAATTTTATACTCCTTTATACTTCAAATGGAGCCTTTCTGTGGAACTCTGAAAACTACATTTGTTAGTGAGAGTAGATCCCTGACAGTGCTATGGAGTTTATTCTGCTTATGTCAGATGCTTCAAACTTGCTACCAGGAGGAAGTTTAAGAGGGAACTGTTTCATCTGTGTCCTTACAAATGAGAGTCGACGGAGTGATGAACTTCATGAGCAAGAAAGTCACCTTCTTTTTAGACAAAGCAGTGTTACCTTATTACCCGGCTGGGAGAAAGTAGAACAATGGATTTCTCAAGTCCGAGTGGCTGGGATTCATTTATACTGATGGGAATTTATAACCTATAAAGTTATAGAACTATAAAATAAAACATAGAGAACTAGCAAGGGAAGCCTGAGCAAAAACAGGCTTTTACTTCAACTCCTTGATTTTCTAAGCACTAGCCCAGCTGACAGGAGTCGGGGTACAGGAGACCTGGTGGCTAGAACCATCAGACCATCACTCTGTGTTGTCCCATGGACCCCTGAAACAGGAAGCGGCCTTACTTGTTTCATTTTCTCCAGTTCATCTTTGAGAAGGAGGTTTTCCTGCTCCACGATGTGGGTCTGTATTTTCACTTGAGAAAGTTCCGCCTCCAGAGAAGACACTAAGGTGGAAGACTAGGAGGAAAATAAACGAATCAGAGAATAGACACACTCACTCGGGCTGGAGAAACTCACTAGGTTCACGAAAGGCAGCAACAGAGAAACAGCAATACTGATTCAACGACATGCTGTGCTATGACCATTTATCCTTACGTCCCATGGCTCTACCCAATGCTGTCTTCAAAGACTTTCCACTTTTCATGTTCATGGCATGAACGTGATTACCAAGGTGGTTGTTACATGTTTCTCCAAGGTAAAGTTATGCTCCTTGGGGGAGATACTTTCAGACTATGCCAATCCTGTTCCTTCTCAAACTCCTGTGTTTTATTTTCAGTGTGTGTCCCTGGATTTTGGCTACAATAATCATTTAGCTGTTTGCTTAAGGATGGTTTTCTATTTTCTTCTTTCTACATTTTTTTTTTTTTTTTGGTACCAGGAATTGAACTCAGGACCTTGTTCTTGCCAGGCAGTCGGTTGTGCTGCTGAACCATATCCCCAGTCCTCTGTATTTATTAATTAGATTTCTGTAAGAAAGACCTGTTGTTCTCTCTGTGGTTTATATTATTATATTTTCTCTGAGTTTGTCACTTGTCTTTTGACTTTATTTTTTACCATGCAAAATTCTAATTGGTTGATTGCTTGATTGTAGTACTAGGGACTGAACCAAGGGTATAGTAGTCTTTTATTTTTTGAGTCAGAGTCTCACTAATGTACCCAGGTTGGCCTTAACGTGTGAACATCCTGCTTCTGTCTCTGGAGTAGCTACTGATTATAGGCACATGCTACCACACCTTCTTGGTGTGCAAACTTTTTTTAAAAACACTGATTTTTCTTTTACTGCCTTTGGGTTTTAAGTCATAGCCAGTCCTCCC